CATTAGAAAATCCTTCTTTTCTTGAATATACCCACTTACATCCAATTATTTTCTTACCCTTTGGTAATTTTGCAAGTTCCCAAGTATCATTCTTTTGAAGAGAATGCATCTCCTCATTCATAACTTTCCTCCACCTGATTGAATCAGAGATTGACTTTGCTCCCTTATATGTAGAAGGAACCAAATCATCAATGGCCTCCACTGAAAAAACATATGCAATCATCACATCATCATATCTAACTGGCTGGCGAATAATTCTTCTTGGTCTATTAGTTGTAATGGACTCCTGAACATGATCCTGTTCCTGAGTCTTAATATCCACTGTATCCTCCACCTGCCCATCTGTCATATCTTCTTTCAGTGTTACCTCTGTAGGAGCCTCAATGGATACAATGTTATCTGAAGTTTGTGAAGTTATATCATCCTCCACTCCTACGATACCCCACTAATCTGACCTTCCTCCACCTACTGAGGAACCCGAGGCCTTATCATGTGAGCCTCATTAAAAGTGATGTATCTGTTGATGATTATCTTCTTGTCTTCTAGATCCCACAACTTGAAACCTTTAACTCCATCTCTAAAACTCACAAAGACTGCTTTTCTTGCACTCGGATTCAATTTCTCATCATTCACATGATAGTAAGCTGAACACCTAAATATCCAAATTAAATCATAATCACTAGCCACTGTACCAGACCATACCTCCGTAAGAGTCTTTATATGTATCACAGTGTACGACAACCTATTTACAAGATGACTTGCATAAATCAACGCCTTGACCCAAAAGGATCTAGCTAATCCACACCGTGAGAGCATACAACACACCTTCTGCAGTAAGGTACAATTCAATCTCTCGGCCATCCCGTTTTGTTGCAGTGTCTCCCTAATTGTGAAATAGCGCCTAATACCATGATCCCAGTAAAACTATAAAAATAGATCACTCTTGTACTCACCACCATTATCTGAACGGAGTACATTCACCTTTCTACCTGTCTGCAGCTCCACTTTCTTCTTCCATTCCATAAAGATATCCAGGACTTCATGTTTATGCTTCATGGTATATACCCAATTCATTTTAAAATAATCATCAATGAAAGTGATAAACTAATTGGCCCCACCAAGAGATGTGATTTTGAAAGGACCCCAAACATCTGTATGAACATAATCTAATATACCTTGGGTGTTGTGAATTACAGTGTCGAATTTCACATTCGTCTTCTTTCGAAGTATGTAGTGTTCACACAGCTCTATCTTGCAGGTCTTTGCACCTTTTAACAGCCCCTGTTTCGCCAATACTTGTAGGGGCTTATCACCAGTGTGTCCTAATCTCATATGACATAAGCTGGTAGTATCATCCTCTGTGGTAATCGAAGCTGCCAGACCTCCTGTTACTGTCTAGCCCTTCAAGTAGTAAAAGTTATTTTTCCTGACACCTCTCATCACCATCATGGACCTCTTTGTGACCTTCAGAGTTACATTCTCAAAGATCACCTTATAACATGCTGCCTTCAAAGTTCCAAGTGAAATGATATTCTTCGTTAACTACGGAACGAATCTCACTTCCTTCAGCTCCTTAGTCACCCCGTCACACATCTTAATTCGGACTATTCTAATATCACCAATAGAACATATGTGATCATTACCCATGAGCACGACATTCTCTCTTTCTAACGCCTCAACTGGAGAACCAATCCCTCCTAGGAAAAATATGATATGTAGCACCCAAATCTAACATCCACTCTGTAGAGTTGGCATAAAAAACTAACGGTAGTGCTAGGCATGAGTAGCGCAAAGAATTTGAATCTGAATTATCGCCACTAGTTTTGGCAACATTCATCTCTGAAACTTGTACAAGTTTCCTCTTATTTTTCCCGGCTCGATCTTTCAACTTTGGGCATTCGTTCTTTCAATGTTCATCATCTTTGCAAAAAGCACATTGATTCCTACCAACCTTCTATGACCATCTCTCTCTGCTTCGACTTTGAGCAATTGAATGGACGACGGTTTGGACTACGACCTCTCACTGCTAATACATCTCCCGATGCCTTCTCGGAGGGTTCATCATCACTCTTCCTTAGCTCATAATTCACCAATGCTGAGGTCACCTCCTTATAACTAACAGTGGTTCTACCATTATTCATTGTGAGGACAAAGGTACCATAATCATCCTCTGGTAACGAACACAATAACTTCGCCTTGTCTTCGTCCTCTACATTGATATCCACATTGGTTATATCGGATAGCAATTTCGTGAAGTTATTAACATGTTCTCTAATGAAAACTCCCCTCTTCATCTTGAATTGGTAAAACCTCTTCTTTAAATAAAGCTGATTCTTAATGCTCTTCGTTAAATACTTCTCATTGAGTGTTTCCCACAATCGTCTTGTCGAAGTTTCATTCATCACATCATAGATGAAATCTAACGTCAAGCATGACCTAATAACCCTACACGCTCTGCTGTTAACCTTGTTCCAAACATTCTCCTTCATATCAGCGGATTTCTCTTGTAATTAAATAGTCTCCTCTAAATTCTGGGAATCCAACGCATCCATCACTTGACACCTTCACAAACCAAAATTTAGCTTGCCATTAAATTTTTGAACATCAACTTTTGTGTTATTAATGCTCAAACCTTGTATCGTCTAAGATATGGACGATCCCGATGTATTTGCTTCGCCCATTGTTGATAATCCAATCTCTTCAAATGAGAATCCACAGCGAATCCTCCAGATCGAACCCCAAGCCAAACCCGAATCTCTGATACCACTTGTTGTGCGCAGCGGAATCCGAAAAGAACACAACTAAACCGAGATAGAAACACAACCAATAGGTAAAACAAGAACCAAACAATGCAAGACACATATTTTACGTGGTTCGGCAAGTTGCCTACGTCCACGGGGCAAGGAGGTGATACATTTTACTATTAGAGAGAGAGAGAGAGAGTACAAATAGAGATTGCAAATTTACTCAAAACTCACAAATTAATCTCTCAGACAAAACTCTTAAATCTCTCACCAAATCTCCCAATCACACTGCTCAAAAGTCTCTCTTTTGTGTTTTTTCAGAGATAGAAACCGTAAACAAATCGTGTTTGTATTTATATCAAACATCAATCCCAAACCGATCAGGAAACCAAGCTTAGGCCCATACCCGAGTCGCGGTCAACCGCTAATGTCCTCGCAGTCGACTGGCCAGAGGGCTGAAAACTCAGCCTGAGAATTACAGGGTTTACGGTCGACCAGGCCTAGCCTCGCGGTTGACTGGCCAGAGATCAAAAAATGCACCCTGTAGTGTGCACGTTTTCTATCGACCGGGCCAAACCCCACAGTCGACTGGACAGCACCCAAGTACCTGTCTGCTTCGTTTTTCCTAAACATCGTCGCTGTTTCTAAAGCTTCCACAATGGCTTTTATATGGCTGACCTTGTGACTTCAACCTCAATTGATGACCAACCTCACTTATTGGCTTCAACCGACTTTGACCTCACCCTTGGTATCAACAAAACACCAAGGCGTTATTTCTAAAAGCAACATCATCACACTTCCCTTTGACAACTTCAACTATTGACTTTTACTTTTGGCTTTGATCTCTCTCATCTTGACCGCTTTAGTTTTGGTATCTACTTGCTCTGGACCGTCACCGTTTTTCTTTTCAATCATTTTCTATGCCGATCTGTAACATCAACCCGTCTTGTGCATTACTATCTCACTGCCTTCTAGCATCTCGTCTTTGGGGTCATTTTGTGCCTCCTCAGTCTTCTGGGATCTTGTTTTTAGATCAGCTCGACTTTTACTGTGTTGCATAGCATGGTCTTCTTATTTTGCTTGCAAAGCTTCTCATCTCGTCATTCCTTGTGATTATCATTTCTCTTGATGTCACTTTTTGAAACATTATTTTCTTGGCGTCACTCTCCAAACCTCTTTTTTTCTTTGTTGATCGCGGGTATCTTTGTTCTTAACTCATTTATAAAGCTTCTTATTCTCTACATGGCCTTGTGATTATTATTTATCTCGACCTAACTTGCAAAGGGCCTCTTTCTCAACGTAATCCTCACCATTAAAACTCTCATTGATTGTTGATATGATTGGGTTTGTTTTGATGCCACTTTTATGTTTATATGACCGAGATATCACAAGAAGCAAGTTGTTAATCTCTTTCCTGAACAAGCTAGGCTTTGCTAATCCCTATTCTCGGGCTTGAGGGAGAGTATTAGAAGATGTTCTATGACTTGGTAGACTTTAATAGGGTCCTAATTAAATGTATTAATTAACTAATCTCTTTTTGTTTAGCATTTTCCTTTATTGTATGCTGTGTTCTCTTATTTAGAATTTTAACCTGACGTATAAGCATATTGTTCTCTTCTTCATAATCAATGGCACTATGGAGAAAACTTGCTCTTTCTTTTATTTCAGCAAAGTTGCGTATTTATTCAGTCCTCATAAGTAGGGACATATCTCCAAATATTGCTAGATATGTCAGGTTTTAATAAATTCAACGTCTACTTGTACCATTCTGATCAACCTTTGACAGCTTGATTTGTTCTGAATTGTACTTGATCTTATACATTATTCATATTGAGGTTAGTTGAGATAGTACTTTTTGATGTCTTATTTTTTCGTTAGAATTATTGCATTATTCCAACCATATTGGTTTGGGGTGGGTGGGTGTGTGTGGGGGGTAGGGGGGTGGGTTGGGCGAGGGAAGAATAATCCTCCACTTCCTTATTGCATTTTGTGGTTACATTTAAAACTACATGTAATGTGTGCTTGATAAAGAAAATATTTTTTTATGGTTAATCCATTTGAATAAATGGCAGCTTTTAGGTCATAAAACTTGAGATATGCTACAATGGGGCATGATGCGTAGTTGTTTGAGTTCAATGTTTCAATATTTTTTTCTTGTCAAAGCAATTCAAATGCTTTCTAAATTTATTTCAAGAAACTAATATAGATCATGCTTTGACGAATTTCGCTCATGTTTTGTTTAATTCTTTATTGCAGTTTGGATAAGGATTTTCCAACCATCACTTTACGTTTTAGCAACTCACTTACATTGAAAGCTTATCCACATGACTATGTTTTTCCAGAAGACGAAGAGAACAAGAAGGTAAGATATATTTGCAATCCATGTGTATTGGTTGTAGAGCTTTTCTTTATGCTGTGAAAGAAGAGTGAGTTTTTCTTTTCTTCCAATTAACAACATAAGTTTGGGGTTGTGAACTTCATTTTGTTTCGGAAAATATTTTGTTTACACTCGATTAGGGCTCCCTCATTGGCTATATGTAGTTGTTTTGTCCAAATCGGCTTTATGGTTATTTCATGTTTGTATAGAGTAAGTTCCCTTCCTCTAATAGCTATAAGAGATAAATTCATAGATCTACATCAACCTAGCTTGTATAGATTTAGGTGTGGACACAAATACAAAAAGGCGACATGACAAATTTATAAAATGGGGCATACTGGGACACGGCTAGCTATACACACATATAGACACACACACATAAATTTTATATTAGATCAAATATAAAATCGAATACCCATAACATTTGTATGTTTCTTTTCCACATGTATATTGCTTAACAATTAGAGTTAAATCAAACTAAGAATAAGTTTTAACAACAAAAGTTTAGTGTCCTCATACCCTACATTTTACAATTTTGCCTCGTCTCATACCCATACCCATACTCGCACCCATGCTGATACCCGCACTTGATTTCATGCAACTTAAGTTATATGTTTATTGTAATAATATTTATCGAATTCAATTTGGTGTAAATTAGCATAATGTTGGCTGTTGCCAATGTCGAATGTATAATGAGGGGCACGTGCTCCCAAGGACATTCTTAAACAATTAGGACATTTCCTAAAACTACGAGAGGTGCTCTCGTATGAATTTAGTTGGTGACTGCCCAGAAGGCTAAAAAAGACCCAAATCAAAATTGAAACCCACCTATGAAAACCTATAGCCTATTACTTCGTTTGCATATCGCAATGGGTATGCGATTCTTCAACATAAAAATGGGTTCTTTAGATGTCAATCCCTTCCATCTTTCATAGTTTCAAATTAGTCCCTCAAATCATTCAAAGCTACAAGGGCCCCTAATTCGTAGGTTATTTTGGTATTAGTCCTTCAAGTCAAATGTAGAAATAGCGGGAAATTTGTCCCTCAAATTGAAATTGCTAGTAGGTTCCCATATTCCTATAATTTATTTCAAATTAATCTCTCTAATTGCTAATCCTACTTCAAATTGAAGGGACAAATTTCAAAAAAAATTAAAGAATTGAGTTACCTAATATTAAATTTATTGATTTGAGGGACTAATTTGAAAATATGAAAGATATAAGGGACTAATATTGAAGGAAAACAAAACAACAAACAAAAACTAAAATATGCGTAATTGAATATGAGTCCCCAAAGTAAAAAAAAAATTACTTGATCTGTTCCCGGCTATTGCAGGCGGTAGCACTGATGATATAGAACAAACAGTTAGACCGACAACCGTGCTTTGTTGGTTGAACCGCATATGACATTGCAAACGATCACTTATAGGTGAATCTATTCCTTTATAACAATGAGAGGACCCAAGAATTATTATTCATACTACAGTAAATGATACAGTAATTTACTGTAGCATTATTACTATAGTATTTTCCAAAAAATATTACCATAGAATAAGCTGGATACTGTAACATTACTAAAAGTACTGTATCGTTTTAAAATATATTGCTGTAGCAGAGGTGGGAAACTATAGTATTTTTAAAAAACACTGCTAATAATACCGTGGCATTTTAAAAAAGCACTGTAGCAATTTAAAAAGGGATTACCGTAGCATTAAAAAAAATAAAGGAAGTAGAAGACCAAGATCACACCATCAATATATAGTTCAATAAGTTCACTATAGAAATAGTTTCAGCATTTGTAGCTTGAAGATGCGGGCTTTATTGAAGCAATTAGTAATCTAGACTTTGGTGGATAGGAAGAAACCAGAAAAGAATGAACAAGCGATTTATAATTAGAAAGAGATGTAGGAACATGCTTCAATTCAATTAGGCCTCAAGGATGAGATAGTATAAGACGAAAAAAGTCACGAGTATATGTGGTAAAGTTAAAGAAATTTTTCATGCCTAGTAAATGAAATACACGCCGGGACATGACTAGGCTGACATAATGCTTATCGAGTCAAGGAGGATATATCCCATAAATATACTCTTTAAGACTATTTTTATACATCCACAATCAACATAATACATGTATATCTCAGATTATAATCTAGAATGACTAAATTATTAGATTAGTATATTGAGCTAATTCTTATCGCTAGTATCATGTTGAAAAGAGCTCCAATGTTAATAAGACCCTTTTTCTTACTAGTGGTGAGAATTTCAGTATGAAATGTAGTTTTTTTATCGAGAAAATTTCTTCCACTTCGTGACTCTCAAAGTTATCGTATTTTACACATTTTTTCTCCTTCAATGTCCCCAATTCAAATTTCTTCCACCTTTTTACCTATTTAGGCAGTCCTTCGTCCTATCTTTCTCGTCAATGGAGCCCCTTCTTATCCTTCAACTTCCCCTTATTCAAACCCACGAAACATCAGCTCCTTATGGTTTGAGTTTCAATCGGAGGAGGTTGAAGGGGATGAGGCTCTATTAATTGTTGAGAGAGAAAGAGAAGGTGAAAGAGGGTCTCATTGGGTAAAAGGGTCAAAAGGAATTTTAGTTAGAGAAGGTTAAAGGAGGAGGATGTAAAATACAATAACTTAGAGAGGTTCGGGGTGGAGGAAATTTTGCGGACAAAAAAGCTACAGTTCTTTTTGTAATTCTCGCTGCAGGTCAGAAAAGATTTTTTTTTTAATGTTGGATCATTTTAGAATACCATATTGATAATAGGAGTCAACTAAAAACATACCAATCAAGTAATTTAACCAAATCTAGAGTACATCATCATACATCATAGAAGTCAAATGAATTGTTGAAGTCAATAAGTAACTCTAATATCCAAACCGAATAAACTATGAGTAAATATCTCAAGTACCATCCGCTAGATAACTAAACCTTACCTAAGAAAATAACTAGACAATGAATAATGTCTACACAAATGTAAGAGAGGTAAATCACATGGCTTGTACTTTCTTGACATTTAATAGCAATTTCAATGATTCGGTAGGACAATGCATGGTGTCGAAGTAAATAAATAGTAATGTAGTGGAGAAGCTAGTGGAATGATGAATAGTTGGATAACTTTTCATATTACCATCATCATCATATTATTAATTAATTTTTTGAATTGATTATAACAAAATAAATTCATTATTAATTATGATAGGATTAGAATGTAATATCCAAAAGGAAGCTACGGTGATATTGGCCATGGAAATGTTTACCTGAACACACTTTTAAAGGGAGATACAGCCACAAATACCATTGTTTTAAATATCCGAGACATGGCCTGATGTGTCTCCCGATATATCCTTTACAATGGCTTGCCACAACCGATATAGCCTCTAAATATCCTTTACCCTTTTTTTTTGCTACTTTGGGAGATATATTTCTAATACGGCTGATATATTAACCGATTTATTGGTAAATATATCCTTTTATATGGTTTGTTGCAAAATAATATAATATACCACGTTTGACAATTTTTGGGCAAGACATCATGATCTTTTTTATTATATCAAATGATATTTTGGCCTACAAAAAAAAATTAGACAAAATGTTGCAATGTTGATTTGTACTTTTATTTGTTTTATAAGGTTGAATAAGAATCCTAAACATATATTATCTACATTTTGTATGCTTAGATTTCATTAACTAAGTTGAGATTACATTTTAGTGCATTATACTATATATGCAAACATCCATTATGTACATTCCAATATTTACTATATACCCCCAATATTTCTCTGATATCTACAATCCGATATGAATTTTGGTCATACGATATTTTCCGGTCTCCGATATTTAAAACCTTGACAAATACATATATAAACATGTATACATTCATGCATAGATGGACTCACGCCTGTGCTTGCACATGCATTAAAACAAATTCTTGAGCGCGCATTCGCAATCTTATCAACCTACTCACACATGCACATGCCCGTGCACACACTTTGAAGCATATATAGAAAAGCTTCTGTAAACTTAAGTGAAGTGAGGGCTTAGTCCACCAAGTTTTCTATCCATTAGATTGCTTTAAAAATAGGAGTTAATCTGTGGTGGGGTATGATGACTATCAGGTGGCTGAAGGGGTTACACCTTTTCTAAAGCCCCATCATAGATGAGCCCAGTGTAAAGTTAACTCGTGAAACTGAATCATCAGCTCACTGTAAGTGTAAATACATATACCATAGTACGCATCCGTGCTGTATCAAGTTAAATAGGACAATTGTTGGACTAAATTGGCAAATATAAATCTGCCCATGATCTGTAAGTGTAGTCCTTTTGATTTGGTTGAAAATTTGGGCTAGTTGAGTTTCTACTTGCTGGTTATGCAGACCTAGATTAGTTTTGGAAGGTAGATTTGTCTTAACCATATTTTGATTCTGAGGCACCAAGGGTTTCTTGAGGGAAGGCATAGTTCATTTTCTTGACAGTTGTTTGAATTCCTTAATCAATCCTTTATCCTCACCTTTTAGATAACTCATGTTTCTTACAAATCCTTCCCAAGAGTCTATTTAAGAGAATCTCATCCGGGCCACCCGAAATGACTCCTTTCTTACTGGCACGCAGACCAAATCCTGAAAAATTGAAAAGTAGCCCATAATACCCTAAAATAATGTAATACCCACCATACTTATAATCAGCTCAAATCAATCAGTTGGAATTGGTTGGAAAACTGTATAGTATTGGTTCACTATTGTGGGTTTAATTACTAAAATTCATAATAGGATTTGCAATTGGTTTAATATTTTTTGTTTACTCACATTTATAATACTACAACCACCACCAGTTTTATATATCAACAAAAAGCATGGTAAACTACAATTTTTAGCTTCTGTTTCCCCACAATTCAACAGATAGAAAGCTAGTCCTTACTGCAATCATTCAGCCAGCCAAAGTTTCCTTCCGTCAAGCTAAGAATGGAGATTCTTGGATGTGGAAACAAATCTTGAAAGTGAGAGATAAGGCTTTAGCTTCTTATGGAGGAGCTGATGGGCTCAAATTGCTTATTCAATCGTGCATGAAAGATACTAATGTTAAAATTTCAGCCTTATATAATAAACTCTCCCCTGGTTCATCTGCTGTACCTTGGTTCAGCACTGTTTGGGAGACTGCAAACATCCCCAGGCATTCTTTTATTGGTTGGTTAGCTACTCAAAACAGATTGCTTACTCAAGATAGACTTATCAAATGAGGGGTTGTGTCTAAAAATTGCTGCTGTCTGTGCACAGGCACTGAGATTGAAACCAGGGATCATCTTTTCTTTGAGTGCACTTTCTCAAGAGATACTTGGATTATGGTAATGGATTGGTTACAGTTCAGGTGGAGGTCTTGTAGCTGGAGGCAAATTATAAATTGGTACTGTACCAACCTGAGAGGAAGGGGTTTCAAACAAAGAATTAAGAGAATGGCTTTAGTTTCTACAATCTACAGTATCTGGATTGAAAGAAATGCCAGATTATTCACTCAAAAGTTTAAGACTGCAGTGCAGATTTGTAATGAGGTTAAAATTAACATTTTATCAGCTATCCTCAATGGTCCCCTTCAGGAAGAGTGCAAAGAATGGTTTTCAACCTGCAAATAATTGATCTATTTTGCTGTACATTGAAGAGGGAGTAGATAGACAAGCGTGTCAGCTCTCCTTGGTTGCTGATTGCTGGTGACAGAGAAGAAGACCATATTATGCTTAGAATGGTAGTTGGTATGGCTTACTGACAGGTTTTATAGCTTTTGCTAGGCTCTGTGCATATTTGTTTCTGATTGTGAGCATTAGTCACAGGATTTTATAGCCATCTCATATTCATGAGATTCTTGATATGTACATAACTTCCATATTGGTGATGAATAAAAATTTTTCATATACCAAAAAAAAAAAAAAAAAAAAAAATTTCCTTCCGTCACACTTTACAAGTATGGCCATTTTATACATTTTTCACTATAAATATTGATTTTGTAATTTTTTGTTTCCTCGATCTGATGCTTGAAACAAGTTTATATGTTCTTCTTTAATTTGATATGAGCAAAGCTCTATTAGAGCCACGTAAATCTTGATTAACATAAGAAAATATAGTAGGATATGATTGTTTGTTAAACGAACTTTCTTTTGGGTCGTGTTCCTTAATTATGGTGCGAGCTTATACTTCCATTTCATTGGTATTGTTTAGACTCTAATCACTTACCATTCTTACTTTCGTAATACCCCAACAGGATTCATGGTGTCTTGCATGGATAATATCTAAAAGGCGTGTTGCTATTGGCGGTAAGAAGCTCGCACTTACTTTTTTTTTTTTTTTCAATTTTATTCTAAATTGTATTTCTACGTATTAGTTTTATTTTCATCATAAACCATTTAGTAACTCTGGAGTTACATGTGTGACGAGCAAAACCAATAGAAGTTCTAACGGAGAGCGTGCAAAAGGAGCATTTTATATTTTGTATGCTTAATTAAAATTTACCTAGAGAATAGAACACAGGGAAGAGAGAGCGAGAATCAAGTAATTAGTCCTCGGCAAAACTGTGTTCGGCATTGTTATACCTTTCAGCCGACATGGCCAATATAATATCGGCGCGCCGCTGTGTCATTTTATAAGGCTAGCCTCAGTGATTGCAATATCTTCCGTCTTTTTCTGGCATATGTTAGCCATATACATATCACCATTTTCTCGGTTGGTAGGAGTGGGAAAAGTAAGTATATATGGCGCATCATCATCAAGGATACGCCATTCCTAGCCTGAATCCCAAAGAAGGATCACCGGGTTTATACTGTGCGAGTCTGTCTTGATCCAGGCTAACATGGTGACAAGAAACAACTGAGATCACACCTCTGTGACTTGGTGACAAGTTCAGCGCATCCCTTGCCCTTTTCTCCTGGGGTCTGAGTTTGGGATATGATATGCGCTCTCCTCATTCATCATCAAGCTTGATATAGCTTGCATGATTACCTATAAACAGGAAGTGGGTGATATACGTCAGGGCACTGTGCCTCTCTACTGCTGTCTCTTCATCCAAGCAAGGCATCTTCCCATTCGGCTCACACCTTAATTACCTCCTCACATGATTACCTACAACTAGGAAGCAGGTGTACGTGCAACATTAACTTGTGAAAACGGAAAGAAAGGGGACGAGAGCTTGGGAAGGGGAGAGGGTTCATTCTAGAGAAGGATTAATTTCAGACACAGATATAGTTCCTATGGGAGCCTACTTGAAAACCATATTATCATGAAAAAAATTGCTTGATTAGGGGCATTGATAGTAAAGAAAATGCAATACAGTTTTACTCGATCAGTGTCTGGTGAAACGGCTTTCTATACCACTTTTAGAATATTAACCACTCTAGTATATTGGTCAACATTACTAGAAAAGGACACTAAAGATATGGCATAAAACACTTTAAAGTTTCAAACTTGATTTGCACATCGATTAAGGGTGTCTATTAGACTTTGAAAACCTTAATTCTATAAGAGATCTGACTGAATATCTTAAAAAAAAAAAATTTGCCCTCGAGATTTGGTGACTTAAGTTATTGGTTGCATTAATAATTAGACAATTGACCTATAATAGCCCACCGTTCCATGCTTAAGGGGGTAATTCATTGGGACATTTGGGGGGATAATGAGATAATTTTGGAGATTCTATTTCATAGTGTTATTCATCAGGACAATGGAATAAGGATATTACATTTTTGTGTTATTGATTTTTTGGGACACTAGTGACACAATTTCACCACTTGCGATAAAGTTACCCCACTCATATACAAAAATTTTGTCCCAATAGTAAAAATTTACTCCATCCTCCATATTGGAACAATTTTGTTCCACTTTGAAGCCAATTTGGATAATTTTTAAACCTTTTTGTATTACTTAACTAATACATGCTAATTATATTATAAATATATGACATGATATATAAAATATAAAGTAATAATACATTCAATACATTTTAGTATATTATCATGTAATAAAATAAAATATTATTATAGTTTAATTTATATGTATAATTTATTTTATGATATTTATTATATATTATTATGCAATATCACATACTATATTATATAGTAGTACAACATATTTATTATAATATTATATAATATTTTAATAACATCTATTATTATATAATATATTATATTAATTGTAGCTGATGTTTTATTGTAGCAATTATATTATAGTGTATTATATTAAACCAATATAATAATATTAAACTAATATAACATATAAATTAATAATATGTTAGTATAGTTACATTTAATTATAAAATATGTAATAAATATAATCGATCGTTATGTGATTATATATATTATATTAAATTAATGATAATAAATATATTATTGTACTATAATATAATACATTTTAGATATTTTTTAATATATCATTGTAATTATCATTAATATCATACTATATTTTAATTATAATAGATTATTTTAAATGATATTATATTGATAAAAAATATTAGAATAGTTTTATGCGGTAAATTTTAACTCTATGATATTATGTTCTAATATATTAAATTAGAGTATTATATTTAAATACATTGTTTATATATTTTTCAGCTTTTATATATATGACATACTATTATAATATAATATAATAATTACTAATATTAATAAAGTATTATGGTATAATATAATATAAACTATAGTTTGAAAATATAATATATTATACTATCATGATACCTTTTAATATATGTCATTGTAATTATCATGTAATATATATAGTATATTATATATTATATATATATATATATATATATATATATATATATATATATAATATATATATATATATATATATATATATATATATATATATATATTTAAATTATAATATAATATTTTAAAATATTACATTGATAAAGTAAAATATTATAATATTTTATACAGTACATTATATTCTTATGATACTATATTATAATATTTTAAATAATATATATAATATCAAAGTATATATTAATATATTAGTTCTATATTATATCAAGAGTGGTGCTAAGAAGCACACGCCCCAACCACAGAATCTCGCACCACACCTCCTCTCCCTCTATACAGTGCAGTTGGGTCCCACTCAAATATTTTTTTTTTTTTTTTTTTTTTTTTTTTTTTTTTTTTTTTTTTTTTTTTTTTTTTTTTTTTTTTTTTTTTTTTTTTTTTTTTTTTTTTTTTTTTTTTTTTTTAAAAAAAAATTGATGTGACCCATGCACTATTTAGTGTGGAGAGGAAGGTGTGGTGGAGATTGTGTTGGGGGTGTGCCCCTAACAGTTCTATTAATATCAATTATTATATAATGTAGCATACTAATATAATAATTAGTAATATTTATTAGTAATTATAGTATAACATATTAAATTTTTGTATAAATAAAATAATGTATTATATTAAATATTATATTAAATATATTAATCTTATATTATATTAATTATTATATGGTATAGCATGCTAATATAATATAATATAATAATTAATAATATTAATTAGTAATTATAGTACAACATATTATATTTTAATTTAAGGTAAAATAATAAATATATTATAATAATATACTAAATAATATACTAAACCAATTGGATAAGTTAATTTAGAAGTAATTAATAGTATACTAAACCAATTGGATAAGTTAATTTAGAAGTAATTAATAGATAAAATTATATTTTAATAAAGTGTTACGTCATCAATTATCCCACATGAATTGTCAAATCAAAAGCTCAAATTGTCTCATTATCCCACTTATCCCACTTTACCCCACTTAAAATATCCTAAGGTACCGTTTGGCAAAGGGTTAAGAGAGGGGTTAAGGAGACTTAACCCCTTCTTAACCTGCCAAACACAACAAATCTATATAAGAGTTAAAGTGAGTTAACCCTCCATAATTTGCCAAACATATATAGAGGGGTTAAAATGAGTTAACCCCTCAAAATAAGGGGTTTACTAATACTCCTATTTAGATGGAATAAGAGTTAATTCTTCTAATTATAAAGAAAATAGTCAAAATCATTGTTATTCCCAAACACTAAAACTGATCATAAGGGCTAAAATAAAACTTATTTAACGGGTTAATAATTTAGTCCTTCGGATTATCAAATGGACTAAGTACATTAATCCTTCTCTTTAACTCATCTTCATTAACCCTTTGCCAAATGGGGCCTAAAGGGATAAAATTGTTCTATTGGAATAATTTTCCTAGTTGGCCCCAATTTGTCCCATTCAATAACCCCCCTTAGTTTCAGATGGAGCTCAGTCTGGAGTAATTCATCTAGAAATAGAGAGCAAAAAGAAAATCTGTAAGACTGTAATTATACATAACAAAAGAGCCTTCTTTGTGTTTATAAGAAAATTAGAATCTGAAATTCAATTTTTGCAACATTAAGCTGTTATATGAAAGGCCAGATAAAGGCCATTACCAAAGCTGGGTCAATAACTTGGTGAAACCTACTACATCTAAATATCTAATATTGGTGCTGTCGAGTTATTTGCTAATGCAGGTTTGATATATTCGGATATGGAAATAGTTAGTGTTTTTTCCCACTTAAGTTGACTTTTTCTTACTTGTACTACCGTAATAAATAGAAAGAGCTGTTGTTATCCTCCTCAAGAATAGAAATGGAGTCTTTTTGAGGTCCTAAATTGACATGTCACTTGTATTAATACTCTTTACTTATGACTCATATTGGTGTATATTCATTTAGTTAAAGGTTTTCTTGATCCTATTTTTTTATTAAAATTTTATGCAGATTTATTCTTAAGAGATAAACTAGTTGTCTATGATGCTGAGAATAAGCTCGTGGGTTGGAAGGAATATAATTGTAAGTAACAACTCATTCCTTGCGTCAAATTTCCTTGAACTATACAGAACTTTTAAATATTTTCTACTATTGGTTCTCCTTAATTATATCTATGTGTGTGTGTTGTGTGCGTACATACACACACATACATACATACATACATATGTATATGTGTGTATGTATGCGTGTGTATGTATGTACGTATGTGTGTGTATATAAATTAGAAAAGTTCTTGTAAATTTAAGGGCATAGTAATTACTCGTCCATGAACTTTTTTATTCATTGATTTTGCTTTGAGATATTTGCTTCACATCAAGGCTAACTTTGATATGTGTGCCCTCATATGAATTACATCCTAGCACGAATGTCAAAGCAAAATTAATGGTTAGAAAAGCTAGTAGACAAGTTGTGTGTGTGTGAGAGAAAAAGATGACTATGCTTGGTATCAAGGCCAAAAATGTTACTTGGTAGTGGCATGGCCAATTCTCATTTACACATTTAAACTTTCCTACTTGAAAATGTTCTCCAATTGTTTACTCACCTATTGAATGAATGGATGAGAAGTGGCCACCTTACTACCAAACACTAAATTTAATGCTTGGTACCAAACATGTTTATATCCCCCCCTCCCTATATATAAATATATGAAGAGGGGGAGAGAGAGACTAATGGGTCTACTTGTTACCAAACACCAATTTTACCAAACACCAATTTAGTGCTCGGTAGTGATGTGGATGCTTCACATCTATTCATTTAAAAGTCTTCACTTAAAAATGGTTCCTATTTGATTACCCAACCATTAAGTGAGCGGAGCAGAAATGACCACATAACTACTAAGCATCAAATTTGGGGCTTTCCACCAAGCATACATGATGGATATTGTTCATTAACTTTTTCATCCATTAGATTTATTTTAATGTTAGTGTTGGCATGTGACACACATCAAGACACATCTTAAAATTTAGTTAACAAATTATCCCATCATTTCTATCTCATAACCTTTGTAAATCTTGTCTAATTTATAAGGGGTGTTGCCCCCCTTGACTTTGAAAATTTGTTTTAACCTCCTTGAACTTATCTCACTTAATCCCACGAAAAATAACAACGTTAAATCTAACCTATCCTTCACAAGTGACATTGAAAAGAGCAAAACAATCCTCAATCGTAAAATATGTGTCCTCGTCTTTAGCTGGATGAGAGAAAAGGAGGAGATAGAGAGAGGGAAAAGCATAGTTAATTGGTGGGGTATTTTTTTTTCAATTGAAATGCGTAATTCTCGAAATGGTTTTTCTGTTGTTTCACATCTTTAAGTAACGATGTTAGGGGGGTTGCACAAAAGTGATAAAGATCCCCGCAGTGGGCGGGGGTTGGGCTTACGGGACACATCATAGTTAGAGTGGGGTGTACCAAATTTTCAAACTTGAGTGAGATTATCTAACAACTTGAGAGGGGTTTCTCAAATTAAAGTAGCTCAGGGGTGGTTACCTGAGAAACCCCCATAGTTGAGGGGCTTTCCTAAAAGTAACCTGTAAACATTTTGAATGACCACTTTCAGCACATGATTGATTGCAAATTTGACAACTAATTTTCCTATTTTCTATATCGAGTAACTTATTGTAAATCAAGACTATATTTGTTGCTTTAACAATGGTTGCTATTATTGAGCGATCTATTCCCCTACTTTCAAGTGCTATACTGTGTATTATAGCAATATTCATCCTTTTCATTCCACTAGTTATTTATGGATGAAATTAAATGTATTTTTTCTCATTAATCAAAATATGATAAAGAACCTTTAATTATTGTATTACTTATCAAGCTATAATTTATCTTAGGCTCCTCAAGCATTAAAGTTGAAGATGATACAACGGGCGGAGTTTGTAACATTAATGCACACAACTATACAGCCCCACTCAGCTAATCGGAAACGGGAATGTTCACCATTTTGCTGCTATTTCCTTTCCCACTGTTTTTAATGGATGGTGCCGCTCAAATAAGTTCGTTTGATTATGTTTTTCCCCCTTTCTTTTTGTACACTGAATTTTCACGTTTAGAGGTTGTTGACAATTTTTCCAGGATTGTTTCCGCTATCAATAGGATAGAAAAAAAAGAGCAAGATTGTTTTTATGTGTTTTTTAATGTGTGTACGTGATATATAAGATTGCAATGTGGGAGTATTTGCAATTCCTTTTTCGCCTGACATACTAGTTCTGTCTAATTAGAGGCCGGGTTAAGTGAGAATGATTAATATCATTTGGGATGAATGAATACGTTGATGATTGATTTGAGATCGTTCGAATAAATATGTATATGTGAAAGTATAAACATGCACGAATGGAAGAATCTGTATGCTGGAAATGGATTCTGGTCGGTCGACTGATGCTTGCCAATCAGTCGATCGATAGGAACTTATCAGTCGACTGATGGCAAGCCATCAATCGACCGACGGGTGCACAAGAAGATTCTCAGTTTGTTTTGGATACGGGTCTTTTTGATTTGTTTCGGGTTTACCCGTATATATATGAGTATATATAATCGAAAATTTCTTTTTTTCTTCATATTTTCACGTGAATAATCTATTAGCCCTTATGTTTTGATGATGTCTTATAACCACCATTAACCGACTGATGGCAAGCCATCAGTCGATCGACGGGTGCACAAGAAGATTCTCAGTTTGTTTTGGATACAGGTCTTTTTGATTTGTTTCGGGTTTACCCGTATATATATGAGTATATATAATCGAAAAATTCTTTTTTTCTTCATATTTTCACGTGAATAATCTGTTAGCCCTTATGTTTTGATGATGTCTTACAATCACCATTAACGGTACTAATGGCTTATTGAGTGCAAATATAGTAAATTCATTTATCAAGCTTGTTAGTGCCATTTATGGAGGATTGGATGGAATATATGCTACAACGATAATATCCAAAGGAGGAGGAGGCATAGCGATGAAGCAATGTTATTTCAAGAACAACAAATTCATATAAAAGCTTCATCCAAACTCAAGCTATATCAAGACTTAAAGATTATATTCTATGTGAGGATATTAGCTAGTTTTTATTCTCTCTCTAGTATTAGAATGTAGGCAAAGAGTTATTGAATTCACTTGAAGCTATGGGGACTCACACACACGTTTTCATACTTAAGCTTTTAAGCGTTTTTCACAAAATACTATTTTTTTACAAGTATGAGGACCTATCTGTAAATTTTTTTTCCAAACAGTTTGTTTTTAGAATTAAAAACATTTTACAAAGTTTCATAATTTTCAGAGGTCATATAAATATTTTCTAAATATTTTAGTTTGAGTCAAAATAATGTTATGGAGCATATCAGAATGCGGTCGACCGTACCGGTCGACCGCACTTAATGGGCTCCAGAGAGGTCGTCGGTCGACCGGTGCGGTTGACCGAAATCTCGATTTTTGTATCGGTCGACCGCACCGGTCGACCGATGATGGCTCTGCTTGTTTTCTAAGTTTTCAAAGCTGCTCGTGGTCGACCGGATTTTTTGTCGGTCGACCGAATTCATCTTTTCAGTCGACTGATCATTTTGGCGGTCGACCGATTGTTTTTTCGGTCAATCGTGACTTTTTCTCAAATGGTCGTTTACCTTGTTAACTGTGCTTTCACTTAACTGTGTTTGGCACAGTCTGTGTCAATGGTTTGAATAAGAGATTATTTTCTTAATAGGGAAGATTGAGTTGTGATTTTAAAATGTTTAATCTCTTCTATTTAAACCCAAACTTCTTCTTGTTCCTGTTGCCCTAACTTCTGCAAAAACCAGAGAGACACTGTCTTCCTGAGAAAAAATTTCAAAGTCTGTTTTCTCTCTGTTTTTGTGTGTGTTCACTTCCCAGCTTCAGTATTCTTTCTCTTTGCCATAGGGATTTGTAAAGAGAGAGTCTTGCATCATTTCTACTGCTGTGTGAGTGTGATCTTGTGTAGATCAACTGTGAGGGTGTGGGATCTGTTGAGATCAACTGTGTAGTGAGAGATTGAGAGGGAATCGCTATGTAGATGAAGTTCCGGCTTCCAAACCGGGTGTGTAGTGGATTTCTACTCGAGAGTGGGGAGCGGGGACGTAGGTCAGCGGACCGAACCTCGTTAACACATCGCGCGTCAAAGGATAACAATTCCTAACCCTATCTCCTTTACTTTAATCGCATTAGAATACTGTGGTTTGCTTGTGTTTAATTTTTATTGCATATTAGAGCCTCTTGACCCTAATCACCCCCCTCTAGGGTCCAACAATTGGTATCAGAGCTTGGTCTCTATATTAATTTTTTGTTTAACCGCCTTAGAGAAAATATCTAATGGAGGCCTCTTTGAATATGCATATGTTAGAAAGACAATTCACCACTAGACCACCACTCTTCACCGGGACCAATTTTGCTTATTGGAATGCTAGGATGAGAATTTACCTTCGTTGCATTGATCTTGACATCCTAGACCTCATAGAAAAGAAATATGTAGAGAAGTCCAAAGTCGGGAACATGACCGATGAAGAAAGGCACCTAGCCAATCTCAATGCTAAGGCCATGAACGCCTTAATTTGTGGTCTTTCCCCCAATGAATACAATAGAGTTTCCACGTGTGTAACCGCATACTAAATTTGGGTAAAATTATGTATCACACATGAAGGAACCCCCTAAGTTAAGGAATCTAAGATTAGTGGGCTTATGCATGATTATGAGCTATTTAAAATGCTTCCTAACGAATCCATTGATGCTATGTTTTCCCGTTTTACTAATATCATCAATGAATTACATGGTCTTGATAAGCAATTATCCATTCAAGAGATGAACTACAAGATACTTCGCTCATTGACTCCGGCATGGGAGCCCTAAGCTACGGCCATTGAGGAAGCTCATGACCTCACTATCTTAGCTCTTGATAGCCTCATCGGAAAGCTCAAAGTGCATGAGAAGAAGCTCAAGGGGAAGGAGAAGGAGGAAGTGCTATCACGTGAAGTTGAGGAGCCGTCACCAAAGTTGAAGACCATAGCTCTCAAAGGAGCTAGTGACAACTCATCTTCATCGTCGGAGAGTGAAGTCGATTTTTCTAGAGAAGTGGCTCATCTCTCTAGAAGAATCTCTAGACTCATAAAAATGAACAAGAAATTTAACCCTCGATCTAACAACAAGTTTTCCTCTCGTGTAGGTAAATGTTTTGAGTGCAATGAACCGGGTCACATCGCTAAGGATTGCCCCAAGCTCAAAGAAAAGTACATGAAGTACAAGAAGAAGAAGGCTATGTATGCCGGATGGGAAGAATCCGAACCAAGTGACTCGGATAGTGATGAAGAAGGAGCCAAACTTGCTCTTCATGACCCAAATGTTTGTTTCATGGCAAATGAACATGAGGTAATATCCGAGGCCGAAAGTGAATCTTTCTATATGCAATGTGACATAGCTATGGCTTTAGGAGAGTTGAACTTTGAATTTAAAAGAATGTCTAAAGAATACTCTTCTTTTAAAAAATTGCATGCCTCTTATGATATTAAGCTAGAACAACTAACAACCTCTCTTGCTCTAAAAGATGAATTGCTAGGAGATCTCGATTTCGAGAACAAGCAATTAAGATCAAAGATTGAAAGATTAGAAATTGAGGGTTGTAGGACTAGACCCACTCATGCTTATACCAACTATAATCACCATGGTAGAAATAAGTTTCATGGTTCTAACATCCGTACATACAAAAGAAATTTTGTATTCACCTATTGTATGAGACATGGACACATTTCTACTCATTGTAGAATTAAAGATAACCAAGATTTTTATGGATTGATATGGGTACCCAAAGATACCAAAACTACTAACCACCAAGGACCCAAGACATGGGTACCTAAAGCTACTACACCTTCATCTTCTTCTTTTGTATGGAACGTCACGGCAACGACGTAAGGAGATGTGGTACCTTGATAGTGGTTGCTCACATCATATGACGGGCAACAAAGAGTTATTTGCAACCCTATCAAGGATTGAAGGAGGCAATGTCTCCTTCGGTGGTGGTGAGAAAGGTAAAATCATTGGTATCGGTTCTATTGGTAAGAAACCCTCACCCATTATAGAAGATGTTTATTTAGTAAATGGTTTGAATCATAATCTTCTTAGCATTAGCCAATTAAGTGATAAAGGTTTTGATATTTCTTTTAAACCAAATTGTTTTTATTGCTAATCGCAAATCTAATGTATACATTTTTGAGATGAATGAATTAGTAAATCAAGATGTGAAGTGTCTTGCGGCAATTGATGAAAATCCTTGGATTTGGCACAAAAGACTTGGACATATAAATATGGAGTTAATATCAAAGTTATCTAAGAGAAATCTTGTGAGAGGATTACCTAGCTTGCACTTCATCAAAGATACCACATGTGAGGATTGTGTTAAAGGTAAACAAACAAAATCCTCTTTCAAATCCATCAATGAGGTATCAACTTCTAAACCCTTGCAATTACTTCATCTTGATTTGTTTGGTCCTATGCTTTTTACCTCTCTTGGAGGCAAACACTATGTTTTTGTGATTATTGATGATTTTTCTCGTTTTACATGGACAATATTTCTTGCTAAGAAAAATGATTGTTTTGAAGAATTTGCTAATCATGTTAAAAGAATTAAAAATGAAAAAGATTTGAAAGTTGTTAAAATAAGAAGTGATCATGGTGGTGAATTTCAAAATGAATTTTTCTATGATTTTTGTGCTCATCATGGTATAACTCATATGTTTTCCGCTCCTAGAACACCACAACAAAATGGTGTTGTTGAACGGAAAAATCGCACCATACAAGAGATGGCACGCACTATGCTTAATTCATTTGATTTGCCAAAATATTTTTGGGCGGAAGCCGTTAATACGGCTTACCATGTTTTGAATCGTGTTTTGATTAGACCAAAGCTTAAGAAAACTCCTTATGAAGTCTTTTATGAAAAAACTCCTTTCATTGGTTATTTTCGTATCTTTGGTTGTAAATGTTTTATTTTAAATACAAAAGATCACCATGATATGTTTGACTCCAAAATTGATGTTGGTATTTTCTTGGGTTATGCACCACGAAGTAAGGCTTATAGGGTCTTCAATAAACGAAGTCTCGTTGTTGAAGATTCTATAAACGTTACTTTTGACGAAACTAATATTGGTTCTCAAGTTTTTCTACCTAGGAAAGATGATGATGATGATGTTGAGGGAGGATTGGACTTATT